AAAAAAAAAAAAAAAAAAAAACGGCCATAGATTTGAATAGGTAGATGTGACATGCTCCTTTTCAGCTGCATGCTTAAAAGCAAGCTGAGTTTATGACCGCCTTTCCATTTTCCTTTTCGCCCCTGCCAAGATGGCCGCCAGATTGCAGCATTTTTTAGCCTGTGCGAGTCCACTATAGGTCTATCTATGATAAGAGAGCAGCGCAAGCCGGAAACACCTGATTCGTCTTTCTCTGTTGATGGCACCAGTGCACCATGTAATGGCAATGTGCCGAATTGTGGCCAATTCCTGACCTAACAGACTGAAATGGACTGGGCAAAAGCGTGTTTTGAGGATACTGAACACAATTTTCTATGTTTATTTTGGCTCTCTTAAATCAAGGCTCCATTCTATTTAATCGGTAATTCGCTAATTATGGATGTCTTTGTTTATTTTTAATCAAACTAAAAAAAGTATTAAAATAAATAATAAAATACAACCATCCATCCATTTTCCAATCCGCTTATCCTCACGAGGGTTGCGGGGCGTGCTGGAGCCTATCCCAGCTGTCTTCGGGCAGTAGGCGAAAACCCAAGCAGGGTCAGGGAGAACATTTAAACTCCTGGAATGGAACAAATTAAATACAATTAAGCAGAACTATCCAAAAGAAAAATACCATTATGAATACCTGGCAGTAAGTCGTTTTCAAGGAATGTACACTGTTTTGTTGTGTACACTTCCATTAACCTCCATTCATTGATCATACATTTTAAGTGTGGTGTTTAAAAAAAAAAAACTCACAAACTAATAATACACTTTTGGAGCGCATACGTTTCAATGACCCTCGGTCTTTGGTTTAATTTAACTTATCGGGCTATTTATTGCCATAAGACATCCATGTATTTTATTGTTTTACTTACCTGATTGTGACTTAAATGCTGTGCCGATGGTCGGAGCCGGTGTTAACCTGAGCTAGCGCATCATAAGGAACTCCTTTACCTCTATACCATCTGTCCATCCGGAAGTGTTTAACCATGTTGGTTTGCACAATAGTGTCTTATGGCAGGTATTGCACTGAGGTGACTCGTCATTTATTTGAACCAAACAAATCGAGGTGCACTTTGGTTGGGCACAAGTGCACCATGGCATGTGCAACAAAGTGCATGTTCGCACTTAGTGTGTTTCAATTTTTTAAAAATTATTATTATTATTTCATATTTCTGTATGCGGCCCTCAAACGAAAAAGTGTGCACACCCCTGCGAGGTCAGCAGCACCCATCTCCACTGTACAGTGTTAACGGTGCCCTGCTTTCCCCTCCTGAGACACCGGATGGTCTGTATCACATATGTCAAAGTGCCGGCCCGCGGGCCACATCCGGCCCGCGAGAATGTTTTCAGTGGCCCCTGGGATGATATTGATTTATTATTAGAA